ACAACTACCAACACAACATCAACAACTCGTACGACTACTAGTACTACTACTACTACTACTACTACTACTACTACTACTACTACTACTACTACTACAACTATTACAACAACTATCATTACTACTATCGTTGCTGCGGTAATATTTATAAAACAACAACAACAACAACTTCAACGCTAACAATAATTAATTAATTAATTAATTAATAAGAAGAAGAGAAAGAAAATTTTTAATAGTAATAATAATGATGGTGAAGATGACGACGACGACGATGATGATGATGATGATAGGATGCAGGCGATGATAGGAGGAAATCCTAGCATCGCCATGTTTATCTCCCACTGCTAATATTTCTTTGTTTTAGTGTCTATGCTATTCAATTGCGGATTTATTTGTATCTGTTTTGCTCCTTTTTTTTAATTATCTATGGTCTCTTTCCACATTGTTGTTGTTTATGTTAGTGTTGTTGTTGTTTATGTGATAGTTGTTTATGTTAGTGTTTTTTATGTTAGTGTTGTTCATGGGATTGTTGTTTATGCGGTTGTTGTTTACCACAGTGTTGTTCATGTGGTTGTTGTTTATGTTAGTGTTGTTTATGTTAGTGTTGTTCATGTGATTGTTGTTTATGTTAGTGTTGTTCGTGTTGTTGTTCATGTGATTGTTGTTTATGCGGTTGTTGTTTACCATAGTGTTGTTCATGTTGTTGTTGTTGTTTATGTTGTTGTTCATGTTGTTGTTGTTGTTGTTCATGTTGTTGTTGTTTATGTTGTTGTTGTTGTTTATATGATCATTGTTGTTTATGTTGTTGTTGTTGTTGTTTTTGCATGGTGGAAGTTTCTAAGGAATAATTTGTGTACATATGTTTGCTCGTTGTTTTACCATATTCAGCACTAGGATACCATCATCAATCATTTAGTCTTATGATGATGTTGTTGTAAAGTTGTTGATGTTGTTGTTGATGTTGTTGTTGATAATGTTGTTGTTAATGATGTTTTTGTTGATGATGTTGTTTTGATGATGTTGTTATTAATGTTGTTGTAGTTGTTGATGTTATTGATGATGTTGTTGTTGTTGTTGATGTTGTTGTTGTTGATGTTGTTGTTGATGATGTTGTTGTTGATGATGTTGTTGTTGATATTGTTGCTGATGTTGTTGATGATGATGTTGTCGTTGACGATGATGATGATGAAGATAATAAAAATATTTTTTGTCGAAAGAGATTTGTTCAGTTCATTTATTATTCTATGTGATACATGGTTAACAACAACAACATCATTGTCGTCATCGTCATCACCATCATCATCAACGACAACAACAACATCAACATTTTCTTGATAACAACAACAACATCGTCATTATCGCCAACACTGTCGTCTATATTATCACTGCCAAGTATCACAAAATGTATTATTCCTTTTATCATTTTCAACGAGAACAACAACATCAACATAACCATCATTACATCATCATCATCACCGCATCATCACCATAACCATCATCATCGCCATCATCATCATCATCATCATCATGTTTTCTTACCATTAACCGGTGAACTCTATAGATTTACATTCATAGTTGTTGTTTCCAATGATGATGATGATGATGATTATTATGTGGCTGTTACTGTGGCTGCTGTTGTGGCTACTGTTGTGGTTGCAGAGGCTGACGTTGGCGGTGAAGATGATGGAATGGGATGATGTTTCCGTCGGTGATGGTGATATTTTCTTGGGTTAATAAATTTTAGAAGAGAGCGGCAGCAAAATAAACTGTCACCACTGACACATTTTCACTATTCGTTTCATTAAAATCTCTATTAGAATAACTTGAAATTAAATAATTAATTAATTAATTGATTTATTCATTTATTGAAGAATTAATTGACTGATTGAATAATAAGTTACGACAAATTGCCAATCGTTTGAATGGAGGAAACGCTTCCACAGTGGGAAGCAACCATACAGACGGCACAGAACCTTTACAAACAAACTCCTGAAACCTCTCCAGCTTATATAAACACGTGCGCGCATACAACGAAGACCAAAATAAAACAACAACAACAATAATGAAACAATGATAATAATAAGAATAATAAAAAAGGCGACCAACAACAACATTGTCGACATATTCAGCTCGTCAACGAACATCATCGCATCGTCACCCGGAGGAGAGCTGAGCTCTGATTGGTTGAAAGTGTCGCCAAAGGGCGTTGCCAGATTTGAATTTCGACCAATGGCTTTGCAGACGTCGCCATGGCAAAGATGTTTATACATATGACACAATTTAATGAATGAGTCTGTTGTAATTATTTTGATGAGTAAAAATTTCTAGGACTGCTGAATGTCGTTGTTTCTCTTGGTGTCGTTGTTTTTATTGTTGTTGTTATGTTGTTGTTAAC